ACATCATGTAGTGTAAAATCGTCAAATTTTGAAACATCATTACGTAATGTTAAAACCATATAAAGAATAGGCAAATCATCATTACAAAATAACAAAACCACATCATGTAATGAAACAACTACATAACGTTAAGTCACATTCACATCAAGTAATGTTAAAACCACATTGACTAATGACACAACCACATTAAATAATGATGAAATCATATCGAGTAATGACAAAACTATATTGAGTAATGACAAAACTATATCAAGTCAATACGAAACTATATCGTGTAATATCGAAATATCATTAAGTAATGACTATTCCATATTGAGTTATATCAAAACATCATTACGTAATGTCAAAACCATATTAAGTAAAGACAAAATATCATCAAGTAATAATAAAACAACATAAAGTAATATCAGAGTTCCACATAAGACAGCTGTGGCGTTCCATAGAAAAAACCTCCAAGAATATCCGGTCATTGCCTTAAAATCATAATTAAAAGGAGTTAATCATCCCAAGCAAGTACACCAAGTATTTATTATTAAGTAAATTATGGTCAAATAAATTTTGTAAGCAGCTGTGGTTTATCATTTATACTTTATGACAAATTAAAAATAATTTATGTACTTCAATACCTATAAGGGATGTAGTACTTATATAAGACATTTAATGACTATGGTTATACTTGAAATACTTTATATTTAAGGAGAAACTTAAGTACTCCCTAACAATTTGTTCAGCACAGTGGGGTACTTTTATACATAACTACCCACAAATTTCATAACCAGCAGTAGGTTAGACATTTAAACTTAACCTGTCATATTCCTCATAAGGTACTCCATTCAGTTTTACCATTCATTTCGTATTTTAATTTACATGTTTTCAGAAGTATCTTAATTCACATTTGTTGCTTTTAACACATGCAAATGAGCAGTAACTTAAAACTGTTAGTTAAACCATATGTTACAGAGAAAACTGGGTCTAAATCAACCAAATAAATCTACATTTGTTCCTTCACTGGTACTACTTAACTGGTGGAGTATTTTTTTCTAGTATTGTCACATTATTTCTATTGATATATTTTTTATTTTTTATAATGTTTTTAAATTTAGCCTTAGATTTCCATCTGTACCCATTTTTACTCGACCATGATGCTTATTACATATACTGTACTACATGTATTAGAAGAGCTATACATAGTGTAGTGTATATTCTTCCAACAAAAATATCCTGATTATCAAAACAGATATAGAATAAAATGGCTGCTCATCATTAAATTAATATCAGGCTGTGGAACAGATTGATTGAAGTAGTGGAAAGTAAAACACTTAAAGAAGGTCATTTCTTAAGAGATGAGAGTTCATTAGTTAATGGATAGTTTGTTTCTGATCTTCTAGTGATAACAAAAATGTTTTATTATATCCCTCTAGGCTCTGTACTGATACCATCTTTATTGGGGATATCAGTATTTTTTAATCTACTGTTTATCCAGTAATTGCTTTTTAAGGATCAGTCACAATGTCCAGCTCAGGCCAAACAAAACTGAATAAAATTCCTTGTTACTTGGCAGCCAATCAAAACAAACTTGTCCTTGCACATCAGAACAATTCCTTTCTTTGTGTCCACACAAAACAATAAATATTAGTTATCCATTTCTTAAAATAAAATTAAAGCCAACATCAAGGTTTAAGATATGGCCTACACATGTTTAAATGAACCATATCTGAAAAGGCCAGACATCCTGATAAAAACTGTACAAACACATCACTTGACCGCCAAACAATGACCATTACAACCTGCTTATTGTATACAAAATGCTTTCTTATATCTTAAATAAAATTCAACTTGCTGTTTTTTTTTTAAATGAACAGGTTTTATAAATTTTGATATCTTTGAGCAGAAACAAAAAAATATATAACTTCGATTTTTCTTTTTAATGTCAATGATGAATTCTAGTTTTCTTTACAAGTTTTTAAAAATACCAATACATCTAAAAGCTAACCTTTAATTCAATTACATATCTATAAGTTTTTGGAGAAAGTTGAATTTTGGTAAATTTGTTGGGTTGCAATTCTCAAAAATACAAATCTACTTTTATTATATGTGAAAAAAAAATGGAAAACACGAATAACCAAGGTTCACATTTTTACTATTAAAACCACATTGTTAGAAATATTTGACTGCTTAAGTGTGTTAAGCAATATACTTCAAGTGGCCTAAAATACAGTAAATATATTATGAATGGTATATGAACATTAACAATGGACTAATGGGCAGCTCTCTGAGGGGCCTGGTGACTATATTAAATACCAAATTAACAGAATGGTTTATTGAATGAATAATTAGGTTTTAATTCAGGGAATAATGTCCAGATAATTGGGGATAACAGTCTCATTGACAAACTTTAATAATAAAGGATATAATAATGTTGTGTAACAGGGAACCAGGTTGTTGTTCAGGATGACTAGGGAAAGTAAAAATTGGTAATGATATTTAAAATTAATGTCCAAATGGTGACATCAATGGTCACTTTATCAGATCAATAGCATAAAATGGACAGATTGACACTGGTGGATGTTCCATTACACCTCTCATTAAAATTAAAATTTTATTTTAATTTCAGTTTTAACTGGGAAAAGTTTTCCAGTGACATATTTGGTTAAATCTTGGTATGTAAACTGCTGAAATAATTATAGTACTAAGTCTTTACTCAGTTAGAATGGACTGTGGTGAGATTAAAATGTATCATCACAGTATACAGTAACACTACATGTATATGATTAATTATGGCATGTTCAACACATACATGTATAATTATACATGTTAATTCATTCACGTTTACACCCACAAGTTTTGATACAAACATATGTATAAACCATCATTCAAAAATCAGGTAATTGCTTCAAAAAATTTCAGTGGAATAAAACCTTACCGGTACTTACAAAACAAATAATTCTTAGTACAAAATTTTATTTTGAGAAATGGATAACTAATTTTCATTTTCATCCGAAATAACTTCTTTTTATATGAACCTAACATGAATGTACTGTGACGTAAAGATTTAATTTTACATTGATTATTCTGATATGAATTGTAAAGCCTCAGTAGATGAGTAACATAGAACTTATTGACAACACTCAGCTTAGGTCTTACACAAAAGTGATACCCTTTTTGTTGAAATCTTCATACCAAGGTTTAGTATTGTTACCTAGTTCTGAAGGTGTATCAAATGAGAGGTGAGGAAAGGGAATCAAAGCAGTTAATTATTGGCTATTTCTACATTCTTTCAACAGTTTGATAAAAAAATGTATCAATTTTCAAAAAAGACTGTTATTGGTACCGGTATGCTGAAAAAAAACCTACTCCTGTATGGAGAAATTATCAGAAACTATTTGATAATTGTACCACTGCTGTTCATTGATACCATATGGACCATTTTAGCCACTTAAGCATTTTCAATAATGTATTGAAGTTTATGCCTTTTAAAATGATACTATTTTCAGTAAACCTTTCGAAACATAAAATGGAGCTATTCACTATGCCAAGTTTACTTGTCTGTAACATTAAAATTGGACTTTTGGAGAGCTCTGTGCAAGGTATTGGTATATTAAGTAAGGATAATTATGTATATTTAGTGCATCTATCCCAAACAATTAGACAAAGTTTCCAGTGATTGTCATAGATTACTTGTTTTACCGGAATTTTGTTTGCTGTTTTTTATGTTAGATTGCATTCAGTTGTCTATATTGAATTTTTCACATTTTATTTGACATTCTGATACTGTATTCATTTCACTTAAAGACTTATGATAAAATATACCTGTAAGTCATCTTTTTATCATAAATAACTACAACTTTCAGTTGCAATATGTTTTGCACAAGAGCTTCTAGTTTTGCTCTTTTTTAGATCTGTATGATAGTTTGTACATGTTCACCAAATACTCTTTTTGAAGGTCTTTTGTGGATAATAGTCCCACATTTGATTTTTATGTTGCAAACTTGCAATCATCAAAAAAGATCACAATTACAAATTAATATTTTCCCCCATACAGTGCCCTCTTGGGTATCACTTCATAAAATATAAAGAAGCCCCAATCTTGGGACTAATACTTATGATTTCCAATAACCTGTATTAAGATTGGGTTTTATTTAATTTTATTAGTTTTGTGGTTAAATTTATCAGTCATTTTATTTGAATACTGTTATAAATCTGTCAATATAAATATGCAACAGCACTATATCAATCAATTGGAGGATAAAATAATTTCTAATTTTTAGACTTATTTGTTTAAATGGACCTAAAATCTTAGCTTTAATCATTTCTGTTTAAACAGAAAGTGAAATGAATTCAGTGAATTAATACAAAATCAACAAATCAGCATTCCAACACTTCAATTATTATAAATAAATTATGGTTTAGCTTAACATATTCAGAGTCATGGATCATCAGTGATCCAAATCGTTCAGTTGCTATATCTTGCAAATTAAGTTTTTTTTTTTATTTTCCAGAAACTTATCATAAAAATATGACAGTCTAGATCACAGTGCTCTATCATTTAAAAATCACTGATTATATCTTCATATAGAAACATTGACCAGAATGTGAGGATATATAAATTTGTCTTTTTATTTAGTAAGACTATATATACCACTTTTCTAGACTTAAGATAATTAAGAGCTTGACATATATTGTATATACACTTGTCTATGGAGAGGACTGTAGTAGTGTATGTTGACACCAAGATCTTTTTTTGTGTGTCATTGAGGTGCTTTCTTGTAAATGTATCTCCCTCATCTGGGCTTATACATATGTACATGTATATTGCTAAGTACAGCAATCTATTTACCTGCATAGAATAAATCATTTTGTAATCAAGAGAAACTGCTTTTTATCTCAGCTAAATTCAAGCAAATAACTCAAAATCTGAAATGTTTATAACCCACAGACATACTGTTTGTGCACACAAGTGAAATAAAAAACATAAAAAGGAAATCAAATGTTCTACTTACAATCTCTCCAAATTTGGCATTTCAGAGAACAGTTCATCAGGGATGTTGTCTAGTTTGTTTCTGTCTATTCTCCTGGGTAAAAATAAATTTTGAATGGAATGACATCTGTCTAAGAAGATGTTTAATATTAATATCCTGGCACTAGAAGTTATATGACAATTATTTAACACAGTAGCATCAGAGACCCAAAGATTAATTGATTTTTATTATCTTTATGTCCAGGGGCAAATATTTCATGCATATTCAGGATGAGAAAACATTATCACTATAGCCAAACTATAGTGGACTAGACATAAATCAGTGTGCTTGACTTTTTGTTAGGAATTGCTTTTTGGACAGAAAAATTAGGTAAATATTTTGAAACAAGTGCCTGTGCTCTATAAATTGTTACTTTCATTGAGCCAGCACTAAATTAATTTGTTTTCTTAATTTAGGGTAAATAGTCCATGCTTACAACATTAAGTAATAATCAGACATCGATGATAGATTGTATAATTAAAGATGACCATAAACCGGTATGAATGGAATGATTATATGTATCTGTTCTGAGATTTATACTATTACACAGTAAAAATAAAATGCTCCGCAGGGCGCAGCTTGATACGACCGCAGAGGTCGAACCCTGAACAGTTGGGGGAAGTATGGACACAACATTCAAGCTTGATACAGCTTTGGATTTGGATTGTGATTAAATATTTGACACAGCATAGGTTTCTAACACAGATTGAATGTGGTCTAAGAACTTAAAAATTTTAAATTGGACATTCACCTATTATGGTCCAATATCCAAAATCTAAATACATGGTTAGATTCAGCATATCAAAGAACCCCAAGAATTCAATTTTTGATGAAATCAAACAAAGTTTAATTTTGGACCCTTTTGACCTCAATGTGGACAAAGTTGATAACGGGGCCCAAAAATCAAAAATCTAAATACATGGTTAGATTCAGCATATCAAAGAACCCCATATATTCAATTTTTGTTGAAATCAAACAAAGTTTAATTTTGGACCCCGATTTGGACCAACTTGAAAACTGGGCCCATAATCAAAAATCTAAATACATGTTTAGATTCAGCATATCAAAGAACCCTAAGAATTCAATTTTTGTTAAAATCAAACTAAGTTTAATTTTGGACCCTTTGGACCTTAATGTAGACCAATTTGAAAACGGAACCAAAAATTAAGAATCTAAATACACAGTTAGATTCGGCATATCAAAGAAACCCAATAATTCAATTTTTGATGAAATCAAACAAAGTTTAATTTTGGACCCTTTTGACCTCAATGTGGACAAAGTTGATAACGGGGCCCAAAAATCAAAAATCTAAATACATGGTTAGATTCAGCATATCAAAGAACCCCATATATTTAATTTTTGTTGAAATCAAACAAAGTTTAATTTTGGACCCCGATTTGGACCAACTTGAAAACTGGGCCCATAATCAAAAATCTAAATACATGTTTAGATTCAGCATATCAAAGAACCCTAAGAATTCAATTTTTGTTAAAATCAAACTAAGTTTAATTTTAGACCCTTTGGACCTTAATGTAGACCAATTTGAAAACGGAACCAAAATTTAAGAATCTAAATACACAGTTAGATTCGGCATATCAAAGAACCCCAATAATTCAATTTTTGATGAAATCAAACAAAGTTTAATTTTGGACCCTTTGGACCTCAATGTGGACCAATTTAAAAACGGGGCCCAAAATCCAAAAACTAAATACACGGTTAGATTCAGCATATTAAAGAACCCCATGAAATCAAGAATAAAACCCCATTGAAATTGGTCAAGAAATAAGCAATTTATAGGAAGTATCTTCTTTTGCACAATCCTGTGCTATTAAATATTTCTTGCTATTGCGCAATACTGTACAATTGACAATTTCTTGCTATTGCGCAATATTGTGCTATTGGATATTTCTTGCTATTGCGCAATACTGTGCAATTGAAGATTTCTTGCTATTGCGCAATACTGTGCAATTGAAGATTTCTTGCTATTGTGCAATACTGTGCAATTGAAAATTTCTTGCTATTGCACAATACTTATTATATAATAATTTACACATCCTGTTTGGTGTGTATCTCCTACCATATCATTATTATTTGATTTTAAATATAAATCAGAAATAACCAACTTAAAATGGAAAATTTTAAAAGAAACAAAAAAGGAAAAAAAGAAAAAAAAGGAAAAAAAAAATAAATTCCCCCCCCAAAATTTTTTGAACCCCCATTATGATTCATCACCCCCAAACTCAATCCCAGCCTTCCCTTTGTGGTATGGTACCTTGCAGTACAATTTCAGAGAGATCCATACACTTGAACACAAGTTATTGTCTGGAAACTAGAAAAAAATGTGTTTTTTGGCCCCTTTTTGGCCCCAAATTCCTAAACGTTTAGGGCAATTACCCCCAAACTCAAACCCAGCTTTCCCTTTGTGATATGGAACCTTGTAGTACAATTTCAGAAAGATCCATACACTTACACACAAGTTATTGTCATGAAACTAGAAAAATGCTTGTTTTTGCCCCTTTTTTGGCCCTTAATTCCTAAAATTTGGAGGCAATTACCCCCAAAATCAATCCCAGCATTCCTTTAGTGATATGGAACCTTGTGGTACAATGTCAGAGAGATCCATACACTAACACACAAGTTATGTCAGGAAGTTACAAAAATGCTTATTTTTGACCCCTTTTTGGCCCCTAATTCCTTTACTGTTATTACCATAACCCCCAAAATCAATCCCAACCTTCCTTTTGTGGTATTGAACCTTGTGGTAAAATTTCATAAAGATCCATTCACTTAAACTAAAGTTAGAGTGCGAAAACCAATGTGTCTTCGGACGACGCCAGACGACGCCGGACGACGACGACGACGACGACGACGACGACGCCGGACGACGACGACGCCAACGTCATACCAATATACGACCACAAAAATTTTTTTGCGGTCGTATAATAAGTAATACAGTAAAAGGGGCATATACCCAATGTCTTACTCACTCAAGATCCCTAAAGTACATGACATGCATATGATCTATATCTGTGTGGATACCGTATGAATATGTTACTAGTTTGGCAAGAAAACCTTAAAGGAAATATCATGATTTACTTAGTACAAGGACTTGTATACAAATCCTTGCTTGCTTTATAATCGAACAGTCAGCTGCAGTAATATTCGAAGACCGGAAGTCATAAAACTAAATGTATTATTAAGTTTGAAAGGACACGAAAGTTTTCCGGGAAAAGACCTCGTTATTGAGATAATTTGTAGCCACACTGTCTGATAATTTATGTTTTGAAATGCCTGTGGAATTTTTATCCAGGTGTCAGATAGATTTAGCACTATATTACGTTGTCTAACCAACCGTTTGATCATAATCTAATTACTTAAAAAAATTAGTGATATGAATAGAAAGCCCCGAGGGTCAGCTATCAGATGTACAAATCAAAGTCGTAAATTTGTCAAAAATCAAATTGTTTAATTTTCAATTATCACGTATTTATCTCTAGCCACCAGCAAAAAGGCTTTCCCATGATGTACAACAGCATATAGAGAAAGGGTCTGTTTTAGTCCGAACCTGAAACTTCAAACGTTATATATTTTTTTAGAATCCAGCTTAGATCATTGAAGTTGTGTTACAGCTGGGAACAGTATATCTAACGTCATATATATATGTTCCTGGTTACAGCTACAATAACTACAAACATAGTGTTGCTTTCATATATTTTTTTTAAGTAAATGCATCTTAAACTTTTTTGTATTTGTCTTATTTCATTTAAAAGTACATACACAGCATTTATTGTACTTACAGTCTTTCCATGAGGACAAGGTCACGGAACGCGCCTCTTTCTATTGTCTGGATTTGATTTTCTAACAATTGCCTACAAAAAATAAAATAAAGGTGCAATGAAATTTTATCCAAGTTCGATTTTAATCTGCATGGGTGGTATATCTGTTAAATATGGAGAAAAAAGAAGAATTTTCTGATATAGATAAAGAAATTGCTTGGCCATGCGAAAGGGAGCGATTTAAACAAAAGCTTTAGAACTTATTGATAAACTTTTTGGTGTACATAATAACGACATAATTTTGAATCAACTCGAAGAACACAACGTGTCTGCAAGTTTTCTTTATAGTGGAATTTGCACATGACATATACAGTACTATATAAAATTCAGAACAGTACACAGTGCTCAACAGCTGATGTCGAATGCTTCAAAGTGGTGGTGATAAAAAAGTCATATTAAGCAGGGAAATTTTAGATCATAAAATAAACATTTTTGTACTACGTTATGCACATTAATGTTAAGACATGATATCCTCGTTATAAAAAATAGAGTTTGTTGATTACAATAAGGTCTGGTAGAATCATTAATATTGTATGCAACCGTGACTTGATATAATTTCTATTCTTAAACAGAATTCCACAACAAGATTATTTTTTTCCTTTTAATTGATATGTAAACATACATTCTGAGTAGAACTGCTTTATCATATATTTATGAACTTCAGCTTAGCGTCCATAATACAATACCGATATATTTATGTACACTTAGCTGACAACTATCATGGAAAAGTTGACGACCTGTTCGTGTCTTGTCTGTTTCATTTTATTCCCATTTGGGGTATCAGTGTTTGAAATTTATTTAATTGCCGCTAATAATCTATATATGTTGGTTTGTTTGTGTTGGAATTAAAGGTTATAAAACGAAGGTGTTAACAACCAAATCTATTTCTTTTGTATAATCACAAATGATGTAAGATTTTTATATAGTATATCACTTCAGAAATTGTCAAATAATCTGTGAAGAAAGACGGATTACAAAATGTAAATATAAATGTTTGTTTAATTCTTATGGCCGAAATATAACCTCTTTTCGATCAATTGTTCTTGGCTTAAGTAGATTTAGATATATAGTGTACACAACTCGAAAGATGCATGTTGGTGTGTGATCGAGCAGAAATGGGAATAAAAGAATTCACAGAATCGTATACTTTGTATGACATATGGTTTTGTTTCGGGTATTGCAAGGATGCTTCTATGAGGATTTCTACAATGTATATATATATTTCTCGACATATTTCAAGGGTCAGATGTATGTGTATAGGACAGATAAGTCACTGATATGAATAACTTAATGTTTAAGTCACATACTAGTACATATTTTATTTATGTCACTCGGATTCTAAACATGAGCCGAAGAATCTCCTGCATTCAGCATACATTTCAACTATACATTAAATGAATTATTCGACCTAAATAAATCGTGATTTTTGTACAGAAAAATAGGGATTGCACATGTCTATTCAACTAATGTATCATAACTTACAAAACTTTTAAATGTCTCAAACCCTGGAGGTCATTCTTCCTCAAAATTGTCAAATTGTTTCCTTGGAGTTCTCTGTAAAAATATAACAAACATTAAAGTATTGTGAAAGCAATAAGTGTTCTGAGTTTGACAAACAATTAAAGCACTTGAGTAAAACTTCGATAAATGTAAATATTATAAATGAAGGTAACATGTCCTGTAAATATTTGCCTGCAGGGATAAACAAAAAAGTTACTTTGTTATTGTTCAGTGTTATACATTGCACTAATATCGGCCAACATTCTACTTGACTAATTATGTTCAGAATAACCCTTATTTTGTTTGACACAAATTTGAAAATAACAAAAATTACCGGATGATGCCAAACACCGTTGACGTCCCTTTTTCTAACTAAATTACACTTTGGTTACGTGCTCTACAGGGAATAAAAATAACAATGAATTGCAGTATATGTGCTAGGCATACGTGCACAATTTGTATTCGTTTATTTCTTTAAAACTTGTGCACTAAATTAGTCGCTGTTAAACACTGAGTGATCTTATTTCATTGATAAACATGCTTCCTTTTGACTATCATTTAGCAATGATTTTATGTGTAATTCCTGCACTTTTAACATGTTCCGTTTTATTCCATTTCAATTATTGCATTTAAATTAAGACAAACAATATTATAAACATATACATATGCAAAAAGAAAAGAAAAACATGTCTTTGGAATGTATTTTGTCAAAAATTAACATCATGTGAAAATTTTACTTCAAATAATGATAATTATTTGTTCTATGTTTGTCCATATATCGTCCACCCTTCCGGGGTTACCAGACAAATGTCCCCGTCCATATAGTTCAATATCTAATTTATCACTTTGAGTATCTATAATCTACAGTATAACATATAGAGGTAACAATAGACTTGTTATGTTTAATCTGAATGTTAGGAAATATTGGCCGTGTACCATTGTGGCAACGTCGTCACGTTAAAGTCGTCCGTCGCCCGTTAGATAATGTGTGAAAACATAGAGTAACAAAATATCTCAATTACTTTATTGACTTAAGATTGTTTTCTTTGTGATACTTACCAGATAAGACAATCACTAAACGAGACTTATGCCTGTTTACTGATATCAATAAATCCAGACGGATTAATTTCTAATAAGCATATACTTTGAAATGTACAGTAATTTAATTTTAATCCGGTGCAGAATTTATGATAGAATTATAATACTTCAAAAGTTTAGATACTTAAAGTTCAATTTAAAACTGTGCACTATAAGCAAATCGTAAGATCAGTCAATCATAAACATAGAACGGAATTCTTCTTCATACAGCTTTTTTTAAATACTTTATATGCATTGCGCTTATTTCCTTGTGTGTGTGTGTGGAAAATGGGGGGGGGGGGGGAGTGTTTTAAAAGAGGCAATAGTCACAGATTACAGATTTGAATTATTTTTAATTTTCGAAATTCGAACAAGTTTGGCAAATGGATACCTGGATATTTTTTTTAGTGACAAAAACATTGCACAACGTACATGTTGACTTTCATGTACATGTACATGTAAATCTGTCATACTATAACAAGGTCTCTATATTAAACTTTTATATCTATTTTTAACAGTTGTTTATTTCTTTGGTAGTAATTTGAACCTTAGGTATCAAAGCTTCAAATGCCTTGTCATTTTATGGTTTCCCCTAATGCATTGAAAAAGAAACATTAAATCGATTCGTTGTCACATAAAAATGTAGACATAAATGTAGCCCCTGGAACTGCATTGTATACAGAGATTTACCCAATACATCACTATTTATCATTTAAAATCAGAATACTTACAACTTTTGAGTGTCTTTTGGAATATTAGTAGGTACATAGGACAGTTTTCTGTAACTACAATCCACATTTTTACCCTGACAAACACATTCCGTAGGACATCCTATAACACTTTCTAAATACACAATTAAACTAATTAAACAAATCCAATGGAATCTGTACTTGAACGGATATCTTCCACCCATTTTACAGTAAATATTTTATATTTTTTTCACAAAAATTTAAAACTCCCAGTATATAACAAAATCAATCACATTGCAAGGCTAGCCCTTTAAACACTCAGGTATTGACTATTAAACTTGGTATTCCTATAAGTTAATTGCTCCACGAGGTATTTGATAAATTTCTTCAATTTTTCAAACCACTTTCACCAATCAAAAATAATCCATTAAACAATCAGAACAAAAACATATTTTTATAATTTTTCACAAAAACTCCCAACTCCAGTGTATACACTAACATAGGTATGATCCATTCCACGAGTCAGGGGTGGGCGGGATTATTTTCTGTTTCGTACACCAATGAAATTAGCCGGTAGCGATTTAGACAGGTGATATACCACATCAAAAACAAATATTGTATTTTTTTTTTATTAATTATGAATTCATACATATGGTGTTATTCTAATGTGAGTCGACCCTAACATTATTGTGTACCAATTAAGCTCAAATACCAAAATGTCTCTGTCTGATTAAGGCGACAGTAACTTTTTTCTTAAAATTCATTACAAGAAAACGAAAAGAAAAAAAAAGAAGAAGAAAATGTATTTGGTGGTTACTTTAGACTGGAACCACCATTACACTGCGTAATTGTAGTCTCAGTTTAATATGATAAAAAAAAAAGAAAACAAAGAAAAAAGAAATGTGGTAAGAGAATGTAGATAAAAAGAGAACAGACAATTTTTCAAGATACGTGTCCTAGTTAAAAAAAAATCATATTGATTGAATCTAAATTTCATTTTCTGTGCATAATACATACAAAAGTAATTATATTGCATATAATAATTAAAATAATAGTAATAATCAAATGGAATTATGTTTTATATTCGAATTAAAATAAAAACCTTTAAGATCAATGTAAAATCTAAAGTATTTCATATTTGGGGCATATTGACGTTGTCTAAAATTTGGAATGCCATTAAATTATTCTATTTTTTTTTTTTTATTTTTAAGTATCGACATTTTCTCGGCATAAAACAGAGAAAAACAGGATTATTATACATAGAAGATCTACATATACTGAAATCTAGAACCCCATGAGACAACAACACTTTATTAATCCACGCTATCCGCAGACTTAGTGTCTCAAATCTGAAAATAAGAAAGATGACAAGAATTAACACCATTTCTCATGAGATATTCTTATATCAAAACTAACCATTGAGACAAAGATTTCTTTGGAATGACGAGAGTATGCTTGCCAAAAAGAAGTTTAAGGAAATAGTCAATAATTATGGTAACTATATAATGTGTGATATATTTGAGACCACGGTGGATTTATAGTGAATTTAGAGTAAAGTTAGTTGTGCATTTTTCATTTAACAAGACTTGGTGTCTTTATAAATTACATAAAACTATTTCAAAAATAGGTGCACACAATGTCAAATCTCTAGATATTACTTGGTCAATTTTCTGACCAAAGACAAAAAAACTGCAGTTGCAACGGTTATCGTATTTTTTCTTATTCGGTTATACAATCAGCATAGTTGCTTATAATTTATTAACGAGGGGGACTCGACTGCCAGAAAAAGACTCATTTACAATACAATGTATGCGGTAATTGACGTGAGAGGAAACAATTAGTCTTAACTGTCCGGGACTAGACACTAACGATGTCAGCGAAAAGACAACAAAATCGTCGGCTCAGTTTGTTATACAATAAAAACACATTGTGAATCGACTAATTAGGAGTAGAAATTGCTTATCTGTCCATTATCGGTATTCTTTAAAATATATGATGGACATACATTAGGTCCGGGTACACAGTTATCGTCCTTTGATTTTCGTTGTCACGAATATAGTCCCTAGTGTGGACAGTGTGTTACTTGTCGATTTTTTTTATACCCCTTCCGAATTTATTTCTCCATGTTTTATGACTCAAATAGTAAGTAGGGGGGTGAAATGACACTGTAAAAAAATTTGGGTCATGAATTTTAAAGTAAAGTAGTGATTTGGTCCAGCTGAAAAATGTTAAAAATTAGCACATCGGAAGCCGTCAAAAGATTTGAAGACCCCCTTAGCATGAAATTGTCCATATTTTGAGTTAGAGCCGATGAAGTTTTCTATAATTTTGATATAATTTGTCCCAAAAGTAGTACAACACACTGTAAAAATATTATTGAGAAAGCGCAGGTGGGATTTTTTTAATTTCCATTTATTGTCTAAAAGAAATGCACTACGAAATAACTGTGTACTCGGACCATTACATTTGGCAATACTATTATTTTGACTAGCTTACAGTACAGACGGGATAAAAAAATAAGTTTCATTTGTCATAGAACTGCTATGGTATCTTCTACAGTGTTTTGTCTGTCTTGCTATGAAACACTGAGATTTCTACTGTGGTAAATTAATGCAAAATTAACAATTCGTACAACGTTTTTAATAGACGTAAAATTGGTAACACATCTTCTTGTTGTGACCAGTTATATTATTCTCTAAGGTCAAAGACAACCGGGTGTTTAGCTTAATTTCAAATTCTTGTTGATAGTGGTGATGATATGTTTTATTTCCTGAAAAGCATGGATTGTCGTAGATATAGAGAATGCGATAAAATAAAAACAAAACAAAAACGAGCAGTCGTAAAATACAATTCCTTTGTTAACATATAACACACAACCTAATGCACTGAACCCATATTATCACAAAATCAGTGTTTTGTACCGATTTGGGTGGGTATGAAACTTCATATATTGAGTAGTGTGACTAGCATGCAATGCAATGTTGGACTTGTACAAGTTTGTTTTTTTTCTATTTATGTAATAAATGAAGAAGAAAAAAGAAAAACAAGTTTAGCTGTAAAGAAAACAAGAGGATCTCAAGAGCCTGAATCGCTCACCTGTAATTTTTTGCTTAAATCTCTCATCAATTATTATTTTTGCTTTTCAATACATATTAATGAGTGGCTTAAAAATGCCATTTCAATGTTCTTTGTATCTGTCATATTTTCTTCAAAAGCAAACAAATGCATTTTACCCCTATGTTCCATTTTAAGTAAGCAAACTAGATGAGATGAACAAATTGTGAAAAATTGTCTTTAAAGGACAATAACTCCTTAAGGGGTCAATTGACAATTTTAGTCATTGAAACTTATTTGTAGATCTTACTTTGCTGAACATTTTTGCTGTTTACAGTTTATCTTTATCTATAATAATATTCAAGATAATAACCAAAAACTGGAAAACTTCCTTATAATCACTAATTTAGTGGCAGCAACCCAACAATGGGTTGTTAGATTCATCTGAAAATTTCAATGCTGATAGAACTTGACCTAATGAACATTTTTAACCTGTCAGGTTTGCTCTAAATGCTTTGATTTTGAGATATAAACCAAAAACTGCATTTTACCCCTATGTTCTATTTCTAGCCATGGCGGCCATGTTTTTTGACGAAACAGAAAATAAAACTCAAACTTTATTCTAGATACCCTAAGGATCATTCAGCTTAAGTTTGGTTGGAATTGGTTTAGTGGTTTCAGAGGAGAAGGTGTTTGAAATAGTTTACACCGGACGGACGGACGACGACGACAGACGACGACGGACGACGCCGGACGACGACGGACGCCAAGTGATGGCAAAAGCTCACAGTTCCTTCTGAACGGTGAGCTAAAAATGGAATTCGGACACTTCCTGTTTATAATCAAAATATCAAAATTTTAGACAGACTAGACTAGATAAATCAATCGGAAATAAAACTTAAACAATTATGATGTAAAGTTTCCCTGAATCGGTAAATTTGTAAGTGCATTTTATTGTTATTCTGTTGTGTTATTTAATTTGTTCTTTGTCTGTTGCTTTACCCCTATGAGTGAAATATGAAAACGAATTAATATAAACTAAAAGTTGTCTTGACACAATGCGACTTTAAAGTAAACGTTTATGATTTCACTACAGAAAGTAGAAGACAACATGGTGCTTCTCATATTCTGAGATCGTCGTATTTACGTATACTGCTGAATAAACGTCTTGAATCTCGAAAATTTTCCAACTTAAACAAAACTAATGCTTCGAGTCATCATTGCTTTTGAAGCTAAAACCTACATTTCAGACAACTTAAATGAGTACCGTCATAAGATATAGAAACCATTTGACCAGACGTCCAATGTACATGCAGCGACTTGTCTGTCTATTAACTTTTTGATAATTGAATACACTTGTCGAACTCCTACAACTCTTACAAGGTGTTGGCCTTTCACACGACAATTATTTTATTGTATCTGTAAATCATTTGTTAATTTGATGAAGATGACCATTATAACTGTCCACTGACCAGTAAAACGTCATTCGTCATGACAAAACTTCACCTACGGTGACAATCGATAATCGTCATCTGTCCTCCAATGTTTATTTTGTTGTTATTTATGTTTATATGCTTGTCACAATACTGTCCTTAATTTGGATTTGATGCTCGTCGCTGTATAGGCAAGGAGACTTACACGTACATATTTACTGTTTGATTTCCCCTGTTACTGAATATGGCGGTCAATCTCACGTTCTTACTAAAACACGATTTCCACCGCACACACCAAGCTTGAACTACCATAGGACTGAACTTCTCGGGTGGGGGGTGCACTTCCTATATACAAGGTGATAGGACGTGCCGCTGGAATAAGTCACATTTTCCAGTTTGAAAATATGTGAATAGGTGGAGAAAACTATCAGAAATATATGATAAGGTCAATAAAATTCCCATTACTTATTATATGAAAAAGCCTGTATTTTTTATCACAGCCGAAAGTATCGCCGTAAGCAAACATTACATAAAGAGTCTGAGCCTCAGATCTGAGTTCCGAGCAAAGGTGATATTTTCTCGATTATGCCGGAATGTGATTTTCGTCCGCTCCTAGACTCATAATAAAAAAATTATCAATTTGGGAAAAGGTAACATTATAACCTACGCAGTATATGAAAAGGTATACATTTTTTAAATTCTAAATTATATGAAAAGGGTGGGATAACAGAACCCTTGCGGCACCCCTATCAATTAAGTATTGAAGTGCCTTATATTATGAATATGGGTTTTAATACATTGTTCTGTTATAATTAGCTTACTGGATATGACAGCCAACCCTGTTAATAACGTGTTCTTTTTTACTGGACGTGGTAATTTCAATTAACATGGCGATTATCACTTATAATTACTGTCCCACTTGGTTTTACGCTCTCAAACGTTTTATGCATGTATTCTGATTCCTTTTTGTATTTTCTCGAAGGTACCTGGTGAAGTTTACCTTCAAACACACGTCGTGCACACTGAACATGGTTT